CGAAGACATATGGTTTCAAAGTGGGATGCCACCGCAAAGTGTTGGAAACTTCATGGGAGATATCCACATATCATGATTCCCCCAGAGCAGCTGCAAGGGGCTTCTGGGGATATTGGAGCCCAGCTGCCGGGGCCTTTCCATGCTTGGAATGCTGAGGAGAGTCTTGGAGATGCACCTTATTTTGTGACTGTTTCGCGCAAGGGTCACAGGCGATTGCATCTTGCGAAGGCTTGTGCTGTGAGGCAAGAAAGGTGCTTGGAGACCATTGGCATATTCTCTCTGGGCGAAGCTTCTGCTGATTCAATTTGCAAGCTTTGTAAGCCCAAGCTGTCAGGCGCAGTCAGTAGCTCGAGCAGTGGGTCCGAGGACAGTAATGCCATTGACATGCAGGCAGCAGCCCCAGAACCTCCAGTAGCATCAGCAGGGGATTGAGCTCGTTGCGGGTGAACACAAAAGAGATGCACATGCTTTACGCAGCATCTGCGGTCGACTGTTTTGATTGCAATTTTGCATCTGCCTTGCATGGGTTACCAGGTTGTCAAAGCTTGATGCGTTGAAGTGCCCGGCACATTTGGCTCGGTCGAATTGAGCTGAAACATCCTCGGTCGAAAGAGGACGGAGAGCTTTGCTCCCGGAAGTTTCTAGTGGCAGCTAAAGTCTTCGGTCGGAGGAAGACAGAAAATATCAGGTCGCTATGAGTGCAGTGGACTTGCCTGCAGGAGTTACGCAGGATGCTGCCTTTGATTTCTTTGAGAAAAATCTGACAACTGAGTTGCTCCACATCTTTAACGAGTGTGGGGTTCCTGTCGGGTTGCAGTTCAAGCTTGGCCAGCGTTTCAAGAACGTAAAGAAGTTCTCAACTTATGCTGACACCAGGTCCGATGGCCGTGCTGCACTTAAGGCGGATCATGCCCTCGAGGCCACCAATCAAGATACGCGGGCGGCAGTGGCCTCAGTGGTCTCAGCTTGGGAATCTTGCCGAGAGTTCAGTGCAAAGGAGAGTGAGCTCAAGGCTGCTGGGTGTTAGTCGGCCAATCACGCAGACTGAGCATCAGGCCATGCGGATCTCTTACGAGAAAACTTTTGGTAGTCTTGATGAAGTGGTTGAACCTTCGGCTGATTATCTTTCGACCAAAATGGAAGAAGTTGAAAATGGTGAGATTGTGGCGTCGCCTCTTTCAGATGTCACCAGCAAACGCAAGGTGAAGACCCTTGGCATACAAACCAGCGTGGATGCTGGGGGGCACGTCCGGATCGTCAAGCAGCGTAACAAAGGTTCGTTACCGCAGAACACGGAGGATCTTCGTACTGTGTTGCGTGTGGAGGGTAATGCCTGTTTTCTTGGCTAGCAAATACAAGAACAAGATCTTCGTCAAAGATCTGACGCCTGCCGTCTGGCTAGACTACAGCAATTTCCTCTTGGGCGACAAAGTTTATCTGTTGCAGATCCCTTCGCCGTCAGGAAAGGGCAAGTCTGAGCAGATCGCTCTGCGTCCTCCATGGACAGTCATGCTTAATTATGAGTTTGAGCTGAGGAAAGAGGCTGTCAAGCGTGCCTTTCGAGACAGTCGTGCCCTCAAGGACACGATTCTGGAGGTGCAGAATGACGCCCAGCTGAAGGAGCAGTTCTTCACGTCCCCCATCGCGTTGCAACATCGCGGCGTGCCAGACGGCACTGACTGACTCCGCGTGCTATACCTTTTTGCTGGAGCTCAGCGTTCTGGAGATATTGCATGGCATTTGCGTGAATTCAGCAAGCTTCATGGCTTTTGTCTGGGAATGGATGAATGGGACGTCCTTAGGGACCCAAAATCTGATCTTTCTTCAACCCAAGCCTGGGAGCCTATCTTTACGAAGCTCGAGTCTGGTTATTATGATGTGCTCGTTCTCTCCCCGCCATGTGGCACGTACAGTCGAGCACGTCACCGCTCTTTCGGCAAAGGCGGTCCAGTTCCTTTGCGCAGTTTCACACACCCCTGAAATTCCCCTGGCTTTCGAATGCCAATCGGCTTAAGGTGGATTTGGCTAACTTCTTCGTCAAGCAGTGCTTGCGGGCAATCTCTTCAGATTCGATGTTCAAAGTTTTGGCTGCTAGAGCACCCGGAAGACTTAGGTCGGACAAAATCCGGAGAAGTCCCTGGGAGCATTTGGCAGCTCCCCGAGCTGCGTGAGTTGGTCTCCCAAGGAGGCACAACATGGGCCATTCATCAATGCATGTTTGAAGCTGCAACATCCAAGCCAACACGCCTTGCCAGCAACTTGCCTGCCTTCTTGCCTGTGCAGTGTTCTTGGCCTCAGTTCGACCCTCAAAGAAATTACCTAGGGCCTCTTGGTACTTGTCCTCACGGATCCCATCCTCCTCTAGTGGGTTTCAGAGATGGTCGCTTCCTGACACCAGGTGCAGAAGCCTATCCCCCTCTCATGTGCAAACACATTGCCCAGGCCATTGTGGAGTCTGTCCCCGGTTCATGCGCAGGCGAAGTTTCTGTACAGCCATCGGCGGAAGAATGTGCGCGCTCCCTCCTTTCCGGCCTTTCCATGCCCCTTCCTCAGGTACTGTCTTTGGCCTGGCTTCTCCCTCGAGAAGATGCACACAAAGCCACGCAGGCAGATCGTGGAGGTGCCTTTTATGCTGGAGCATTTCTTCGAGGAGGTTTGTATGGCCTGCGCTCCACTTGCAGCTCCCATCCCTTCTCCATCCAGTGCTTTACCCGCCTTCTGCGGGAAAGGTTCCCCAATCAGGTCTTCACCTCCTTTGGTATCTTCTTCAACGTGTTGACTTCCATGCACCGCGACTCGCGTAATGCTGCTTTTCCTAATCTGTTGCTGGCATTGTCAAGCTTCACTGGAGGCGAGGTCTGGCAAGAAGAGCCCGGTGGACATGTGCTTCGCGCTGTTCAGGGAACTTTGGTGGAGGGTAGGCTGCTGGATGTCGCTGCGTCGCCCCAAGTGCTGCAGGCGCATCTTCGTTTTCATTGCACAGAACCTTGGTCCGGTGACCGTGTGGTACTGGTTGGCTTCTCCGTTGATTGCGCCGGCTTGCAAAACTCTCAAATCTGCCAGCTTCTAGACCTGGGATTCGTGTTGGTTCAGACTCCTGCGGAGAAAGGGGGTCTGTCTGAGCCACACCAATCTTTTCCTCCTCTTCCTCCCGTACTCACTTCTGGTGCCCCGGCATCTCAAGCAGAAGGTACAGGTCAGGTTGCCCGTTCCTTTCAGGTGCCCTGGCCAGGTGCCCAGGTCAAGGCAGGTCCAGGTGCACGAGGTCAGGCGTCCAGCTCGTCTGCGCCCGAAGTGCAGCTGCTGTGCCCAGGTGCTCAGACCAGGTCAGGTATAGGCGCACAAGGTCAGGCGTGCAGTTCGCAGTCGGAGGGTGCGCCAGGCCTTGTTCAAGATGTTTTTTCGGATGACGCAGAAGGATGCGATCATTTTGACCCTTGGACGAGCAGGTGTTCTGGACCACCGATCAGGTGCAGGCTTCTATGGGCAGCCCAGAGTTTGTGGACGGCTTTGGTCTTTGCTCTCCAGGTAGGTGGCGGCCACTCCAGCGGGGCAGGTTGTGCTCCGAGGCTGAGCTGGAGCATGCAAGGGCACTGCAAAGGGTTCTCAGAGACTTTGTGGTCGGGGAGCTGTCTGATCCCCGCAAAGCTGCCTTCATGCTAGCATCTGGCCACCTTGAGGTATCTCCCTTTGATCCTTGCAAGCTGGGCTCCCTGACAAAGAAGTTGGCGGAGTTATTGCCTGACCCAGGTCTGGCGCTGGAGCGTCCAGAGGGCCAGCCGTTCTGGCTTCACCTTTTGCGCCAGTCGCTTGTTCTGTTGGGGGACCCCGACGCTGCAATCCTTGTTGATGGAGACGAGTCCTTTGCCGAAGGTGTGCGCTTAGGCGATGAGCAGCCAATTCCGCGCACCCCTCAGGTTTTCCCGAAGAGGGTCAACTTCAGGTCGCTGGATGTCACAGATTTCGAACCGGACATGGCCAATTACTCGTCAGCTGAATTGTCATCTGACCAACTTGAAAAGCAGTTCCGTAAGGATGAGCTGGCCGGGCTCATGCGCCCCACGACTGAAGCGGCTGTGGAGGCGGAGTATGGGCCAGGGCCAAACCTAGTGGAGAGGTAAGACCCCTCCACGACGGAACGCATGGCATTGGCGAGTCCTGGACAGGCTGGAAGTGCCTGGTCCCAATGAGGCCGTGGAGATGACTGCGTTGGGGCACGAAAGCAAAGAGGCGGTGTTCGCTATTTCGGCGGACATCGCCCAAGCTCACCGCAGGGTGAGGGTGCGCAAGGCTGATTGGCCCAAATTAGGTTGCCGTGCTTCTTCTTCCTCTCGCACGATCTGGATAAACCGGGTCGGTACTTCTGGTATCGCATCAGCCGCCTATTGGTGGGCTCGCCTCTTCGGGCTGGTAGGCCGTTGGGTGCTTCGCCTTATGCTCACCTCCTTCAACCTCCAGATGGTCTATGTAGACGATCTCCATCTGATGACTGCTGGTGCGCAGAAGTTCATCAACCTTTGGATTATTCTTGCAGCGTACGAAGTGGTCGGCGCTCCTTTCGCACACCATAAATTTCGGGGGGGGGTCTTGACGTGGACTACATAGGGTGTCATCTCTCTTATAGTACTTGGTCTGCAGGCATTCGTGCTGCCTGGATCATTTCTTGGATTGATAAAGCCGCTGAGTCTTCCTGGGTTGTAGTCGGCAGATCCCTGATCGAGCTCACGGGGAGGATGACCTTTGTGTCCCGCATTCTTACCTGGATTAAGCCGTTCCTTGCCCCCTTGCACGCCTGGTGCTCTGTGTTGGCCAGAGGCACTGCCTGTCGTATGCCTGCCCTTGTGCATCTTTCACTGGTGTTCCTGCGGTCTCAGCTGAGGGAAGGACATCGCCTGGTCCCAGCTCCCCATAAAGCAACACCGCTGCAGCAGCTCTTCCGCACGGACGCTAAGTGCGAGGTCGGGCGGATAGTCTTAGGAGGTTGGCTTTTGGGTAAGGATGGTTCCTCTCGGGGTGCTAGTTGGTTTTGCTTAGTCCTTAACCCTTCTGACGTCCCCTGGTTGTTCAAACCCGATGGTTCATCACAGTGGGCTTCGGCAAGTGCAGAACTGCTTGCGACATACCTGGCTTGTGTGGTGTTCGCCCCACTTACTTCGCTTGCCGGACTGGTGCTCCCTGCCATCATCACTGCAGGTACGGACAATCGGTCCAATCCACAGGCGATTGCAAAAGGGTCTTCCATGAAGTGGCCACTGATGGGCATCCTTATGCAATTCACGACCTACTTGTTCTCGGCAGGCGCGCGCTTGAGGTTACAATGGCGTCCACGCGAGGAGAATGTCGAGGCTGATGATATCACCAACTTGAGATTCGAACGTTTCTCTTTGCGCAACAGAATCGAGGCCTCTCTTGACATGCTGCCCATGACCATTTTTGACTCGATGCAATCGGCCTACCAAGATTTTGAACAGGCACGTGCAAGTCAGAAAATGCAGAACCCTGTTCGTGTTCCTGCAACGAAGAAGCAAAAGCTGTCGGAGAAAACTAAGTGGTAATTTTGCCTTTTTGCCTGGGTTGCACCCCACGCCTTCGGTTGGGTCGTGTTCGTGTGGTTCCACCCTCAACTGCCGATGTATGGTGGTGACCATAACACAAGGTTGGATCCGCGCCACCAATCAAAAGGAAGTCCGAGTGCTTTGCAAAATTTTGATATGCGTCTTTTGATTGATTATCTTGATTGGAACTTCGTGAGGAAGAATTTTGATTTGATATGATTTGATTGGATGCTTATTAACCCGAATACTTTATAAAGATACCCATCTGGCTCAATCCGTTCTGACAAGCTTCTTGGGTTTCCCAATGAGTTTGTCAGGGAGGATTAGCTGGGTGGGTAGGTGGGCCCATTTAGATGTGGTTATGCATCCTTATGCCTGGCGGAAGCCCGAGGAAAATTCAAAAACCTCTTGCAGAATTTTGTTTGATTGGCAAACTACATGCTTGAGTGTCTTGATCGCATGCCTATTGCTTGACAAGCTTTAACTTGATGTTTTGGTTGTTTATGGCACAAGAATCAATTTGGTACCCACCCAACCCGCCCTGTATGCAAGCTGGATGCCCGTGTACTTCCCAGCTCCTTTTAGGTCCTTGTGCCTAGGGTTTCCGTAGGCTTGAGCCGCGAAGCGGATTAGTTACAACTCATGTAGAAGGCGCAACGTCAGCAGACTGTAGCGTGCAGATACACGGTCGATGTTCGTGTGGTTCCACCCTCAACTGCCGATGTATGGTTGTGACCATAACACAAGGTTGGATCCGCGCCACCAATCAAAAGGAAGTCCGACTGCTCTGCAAAATTTTGATATGCGTCTTTTGATTGATTATCTTGATTGGAACTTCGTGAGGAAGAATTTTGATTTGATATGATTTGATTGGATGCTTATTAACCCGAATACTTTATAAAGATACCCATCTGGCTCAATCCGTTCTGACAAACCAAGATGTTGAATCTTCTAACTATTTCATTGTGCAGAGTGTTCATGCTTCGTACTTGGCACACTCAGTCGGCAATCCGTACCTCTGGGAACATCCAGAGGACCTGGGCAAGGCAGCAGATGACGTCATTCCAGCGCAGAGATTCTTGACCTCTTGCTGGCCACAGAGGCGCAGTGCTTTGCATTCTACCAGTGCCAGTTCGAAGCGCCATACTCCAAGCCCACGAGAATCCTCACGACGTTGTCATACTTTAAGCACAACAAGACACCGTACTCAGGCATGCCTTTTCTAAGACCGGAGCATATCTTGGTCCACTTCCAGCACAGTGTTCTCATGGGGGCAATCACGAGCCCCTCATAGGCAAAGGCAAGGCCACACGAGTTGGACAACGGCTCCAGCTGCTAGCTACCCGCAAGCAATGTGCAAGTGGCTGGCAGAAGCCATCACAGGCTCCCTTGAAGGCCTGGGCCAATCGCTGCAAGCGCAGGCATCCACCCTTCCACCTTGCCCTAACTCACGTTTAGTCCCTGCCCCTGAGGTTTCGGCCCAGAGAACCACGCCTTCAGCTTCTTCAGTCGCACACCCATTTCCTCCACCTTTCCCTAGCTCAGGTTTAGAGTGAGACCCTAGGGTTCTGGCTACGTTGACATCATCTGGACAGGCGTCGCAGGGGAGCCTTCGCGCCTCCTTCTTCGCGCCCTGAGTCAGGCTTAGACCCCATTGCCACTAGGGTGCCTGCTTCCCACCCTAGGTCAGGTTTAGGTCCCATTGCCTCTCCAGAACAGCGCGCGCAGCCTGGTCAGCCAGATACTAGTACAGGCGAGGCAGGCGCAACAGCATCCGACCTTCCCGAGAACTTTGCAGAAGAGATGCTTAAACGCCCAAGTTGCCAAAGGGCAGAGATAGAGAAGTTGTTTGACATGCTCCCCAAGGAGCTTCCCCCCAGGCAAGAGGAAGGCCACTCTTGCTTTTCTACTGGATGCTACTCGAAAGGGGGAATCACGGGCTTGAGACACAACGCCACGGCCTATCCCATGTCTACGAAGCTGTTGACACGGTTTGCCTGTCAGACCTTTCCATCCTTTTTTTCACGACCTTATCCCTTTTTCGACGGGGTTAGAACTCCGATGCACCGTGATTCACGCAATGGACCTCATCCGAATGGGGTCTGCCCAATAAGTTCTTTCGGTGGAGGACAGATATGGGTAGAGGAAGATGGTGGCGACTTAGAAATGGATACACCGAAGCTGAAGGGCAGGCTGCTAGAGGTAGCCGACGGCCCAGTGGTCCTGGAGGCGCAAACATGTTTTCATTGCACCCTCCCTTGGGAGAGGAGGAGACTTGTTCTGGTGGCGTATGTCGTAGCCGGCCTGGAAAGACTTTCGGCGGAGCACCGTGCTGTGGTCACAGGTCTAGGTTTCCAGCTGCCAGTGTTGAATTCAGGGTCGCAGGGGACGAAGTCCATCTTAAAGGGCCAGCCAAGCAAGCAAGCGTTCCCCTCAGGCCTGAACTTTGCGGCAATCGAGGTGCTCCACTCCTAGTGGAGTGGGAGCACAAGGAGACACCGCTCACTGACGGTTTCGGGCTTTGCTCCCCCGCCAGGTGGGCACTTTGCGACGGGGACATTCCCTTGGCCATCGAGCACAGGCCTTCGCCAATAGAATGCACAGGGTAGCCTTGACCTTTATCCGACAGCGTGTGGCAGATCCGGAGCGCCTGTGCCATGCATTGCTCCTAGGCAAGCTTGAATCCACCCCCTTCAGCGCAGAACAGCTTCAAGGCGTCAGGGACCGGTGGGTCGATGCTTTGGGGAAACAAGGGGATCTGAGTCTTCTTGACAAGCCAGAAGGCCAACCTTTCTACTTGAAAGCCTTATCCCTCTCAGCAGAGATCCTTGAAGACCCTGACTGGCACATCTTGACAGAGGGCCAGGGCTGCTTCTTGCGTGGAGTTCCGGTGGTATTGAGCACGTTCCTTGGCATGAAGGAGCACTGGCGCAAACTAGATGAGTCGGAGCCGGACTTTGATAGATCAAACTATAAGAGTGCAGAGCTGAGCGCCAGCCAGCTTCTGGCTAAGTTTAGAGAGGAGGAGAAATTGGGCAGGATGAGGCCCACAACACTTGGCGCGCTGCGGGAAGAATACCCAGCGGACAAGATCAGGGTCGCATCAATGGGCGCAATTGAGAAGCCAGACGGATCGGTTCGACCGGTCCACGATGGGACACACGGGGTCCTGGTGAACAATGGGATACACCTTGTAAATCACGTCTCAGTGCCGGGTCCGGCAGAGATGGCATTCGCCGTGCGACAGGCGGGGGCGCAGCGGGAGATGCCGCTGGCTGTAGCAGCAGATGTCAGCGCCGCGCGCAGACTCGTTCGCGTTCGTACTTGCGATCACGGCCTTTTGGCGTGCAGATCAGATACCGATTCACCCACGATTTGGGTGAATTTGGTAGGTACGTTTGGAATAAGTTCAGTGTCGTTCTGGTGGGCTAGATTGTTCGGGATAACAGGCCGCGCTATTGCCCGATGCCTCTTGCAGCACCTTTTCTATCATTTTGTTTACGTAGACGACCTTCGCAGTGACTTCTATGGTCGGAGGAAGTACGTCAACTTCTTGATTTGGCTACTACTGCGTGAGATGATTGGCGCACCTTTCGCGTATCATAAATTCCGTGGAGGGACGGTCGTTGCCTTCATCGGATATGAGCTGGACTATGGGTCTTGCCTCTTGGGACTTAGTGACACCCGTGGACATTGGCTCATCGCCTGGGTGGATCAAGCAGCGCAGTCGCGCTGGGTTGTCCAAGTCAGGAGGTTTAGTAAGTTTCTTGGGCGCTTGGGATTCGTAAGCAGGGTGGTCTATTGGATTAAGCCCCACTTAGCCCCTCTTTACGCCTGGGCCTCAGTAGCGTCTAGGAGTCACGCCGCCAAGCTGCCGGACATGGTCATCCTGACCCTCCTTTACCTTAAGGAGATGCTAGGGGAGCTAGACTTTAAGGTTAGTCCCTGTCGGGTACCCCCCAGCGCTGAGCCCATCTTCTACACGGATGCCAAGTGTGCAGATAACCTTGTAGTTTTGGGAGGTTGGGATTCGCGTTCCCCGCCTGAGAAAGCTCGTTGGTTTTCGTGCAGGCTGACACCGGCCGAAGCTCCATATCTCTTCGATCAGCAAGGTCGCTCGCGCTGTGTCGCACCTCCTTAGGATTGCTTGTCTCAGGTTAAACCTGAGTTGGAAGCCGCGGTCAGAGAATGACTTAGCAGATCAGCTTACTAATGGAGAGTTCAGTTGCTTTGACTCAGATCTCAGAATTCAGGTCAGCTTGACCGATCTTCCACTTCAGCTCTTTAATAAGTTGCTGGAGACTAAGAATCAGTTCATGTCGGACCGAGAGCATCATCGCTTGCATGCGCCAGCGGCCGCGCCCGCAAAGAAGACCAAGACTCAGTGGTGACTCGTGCCACCAGCAAGCTGTAGGGGTCAGAGATGCGACGCGAGTTTCGTATCTAGCTGGCTCACCGCTTGGGACGATTTCCACCACGCTAAAAAGTCCGTCCTTGCACGATTATTATTCAGACTTGAGTTGAATATATATTTGAGATGAGATCCCGATATTATGATGGGTAAATTTGATCAGTTGTCTGCTGATTGGATTTACCTGAGAAATATTTTAGTTTGGGTTTGCGAGCAAGCGCTCACTCTCTAGGGGAGACTGAAAACAGCGTCAACGGGGACACGAAAGCTGCGTTGGAGCTGCTAGCGACATTGATTGCGGTGAAGCTCTGGGTCCCGGAGTGCGACAGTCGGCAGCTATCAGTGGTCTCCATGAGGGGCTACACTGATAACAAGTCAAACGAAAGTCTCGTCAGGAAAGGTATGACGACAAAATTCCCATCGACACTCATCCTCATGGAACTGACAGAAGAGCTCGCCAGGAAGAACAGCCAGTTGGAACTGAGTTGGTTGAGGAGAGACCGCGACCAGTTGGCTGATGACCTTACGAATGAGAAATTCGACATGTTCAACAGCTCTTTGAGAATCCCCTTGAAGGGGGAGGAACTGGAGTGGAAGGTGCTTGACAAACTCCTTCGACACTCCGACAGATTCTACAAGGAAGTGAAGACACGAAAGGCGTCAGCAACAACAAGACTCCCCGCAAGTAAAAGGGCGAGAGGGCTGCAGCCCTGGTAGCCGGAATGTCTTTGATAGGGGAGAGGAGCCTGCCTAGTGGCAGGAGGTCCTCTCCGGCTAC